TCACAGAAGCCATGGAAGCTTCATATATAAGTTATTAGATGGAGGGCTGGTGAAAGGGAGATAGATGTGAAAGGAGGGGGTAGAAGTGGATGGATGAACTCAATGATAGGAAGGCTTTTTGCTTTTGCTTTTTTATAGTCCTGACCTGACAAGTCTAGAATGAGCCAAGTTAGGGAGCAGGGGGGTACTTTATGGTAATAACTAGAAAATTCAGCCTAAATCATCCAGTTTAGTAGTCCTTCCATAAATAGTTAGGGGTAGAATTTGCTCATCATTCCAGATGATTCTTTAAATAGAAGAAAGTGTTCTCTCCTGGCCTGTCCCTTTCTTACCTTCTCCAAGGTTATAGCATTGGTTAGACCATGAATATTATTATAATGCCCTGTGCTGTTTATCTTATGAGGGAATGATAAAGCACAGCCTCACTCCACCCCCAAATCCCTGCATGAGATTGTAATGGTGAACTTACACAAATACATGCCTATCTTCTTGGCTACTGATATCTTCTTGCCATCAGTTATCAGTAAACAAAATGAGAGAGAAGACGTCAGCGTCTGTAAACTTTGCAGTTTAAATGGTTTGTTGGTATGAATGGTTTGTATAACTGTTGAGGATCTCAAGAGAAACAGAATCAGTGAGCTAAATACGTATATATTATGAGATATATATAATAGGAAGCTCTGGTGGCATAGTTCGTAGGGAGTTGTTCTGCTAATTTTAAGTCTGTGCTTTTCTGTTGGTTCAAATCCACCAGAGGCGCCAAGGGAGAAAGATGGACAATCGCCTCCTGTGTTAATCACAGCCTCGGAAACCCACTGGAGGGCCAGCTACAAGTTAATTCAGGCTGGATGGCAATGAAAGTGAGGGGCGAGGGGCAGAGGGAGACATGTATAATATGTACATAAATTAGGGAGAGGGCGCTCAAGAATAAGCACAAGGGAGTTTTGCCAAAATATTTTTTGATAGACTGGAGGCAGAGCCTAACGAAATTCCTCCTTGACTTGACTACTTATAGTAGATTACATTATGGAAGATGATTACAGTAGAATACATCATGGAACAGCAACTCATATTTGGCCTAACCTCTGAGAATCATAACCTAAACAAACTAAAAGATAAAATTAATCATTGCAATGTATTTATATGTAAGATGTTTATCTATGAGGTGTTTTTAAGCATGTCATATGGGGAATACCCTGCTGAATTTGTGCATTCAAGTATGTTGTTGTTGCTGTGTATGATCAAGTCAGAATTGATCCATAGCTGACCCTCTATTGGGTTTTCAGAGATAGCGAATCACATAGGAGGAGATTTCCCATTTTTCTCCCTCAGAGTGGCTGGTGAACTCAAACTGTGTGCCTTCAGGAGTGCAGCACAGCTTCTTGCCATGCCAGCAGGCCACCAGAGCTCCATTCATGTGTTCGTTCCTAAAATAATACAGCTGCAATGGATGAGGCTTGGGACCTCTTGCTTACAGCTCTTTCTGTTGATCTTAACCAATAAGGCTTTCACAAGAGTTCAGAAAGAGTTCTCAAGAGTTCAGAGAGCATCTTGTCAGGCAACAAGAACTTTCAGGCTTAAACTATTTCCTTTCAAAGCCTGCATAAGACTTGTGACCTATGCACCAGTGAAGTATAGTCATTTTTCCACATTTTAGTCAGAATTGTGATTGCCTTTGTTTCTAGTCTGTGATACAAGGGCATGTATGAGCTTCTAGTTAGCAAACCTGCTTTGTTCTTGTAAGAGCAGAGAACAACTCTGGCAGGTTTTCTAAAGCCTATTGGCATGTGAATGCTGGGCAGTAATTAAGGAAAAAAACAAAGAGCTACTGCATTTGAATTATATGTTGAAGAATATTTCATATACTGTAGGCTGCTAGAATAACAAATAAATCCACCTTGCAATGATAAAACAATTTCTTATTCTGTTGAGTTGCAAGAAACTTATAACTGACCCTCCAGTTTTTTCAGAGGCTACACATTACATGGGAAGATATTACCTACTTCTTTCCCTCAGAGTAGCAAGTGAATTTGAAGTACGTGCCTTTGGTTTGGCAGTGCAAATACGTACAACATAAGTATCTCTTAGATATGAAGATATCAAGACTTTGTCTTGCATTCTTTGACATGGTGTCAGATGGACCAGTCCCTAGAGATGGACTTCATGTTTGATAAAGCAGAGGAACAGCAAAATAGGACACCTTCAAAGAGATAGATTGGTGCAGCGGCTACAGCAGTGGCCTCAGGCATGGCTACAGTTAATTGTAAGGATGGCTTAGAGCCAGGCGGCATGTTATTCTGTTTTGAAGATCGGGTCAGTTAGTTGAAACAGAATTAACGGAACCTAAGAGCAATATTCAATTCTCTCAGCCAACATTGGCATTCAAAAACAACAGTTCTTCGTTTTTCCTTATATGTTGCCCAACTTTCGGATTCAAACAAAGCAATTGAAAATACCATGGTTTGGATCAGGTGAACCGTAATCTCCAGACTGACATCCTTGCTGTTCAGCACTTTAGAGAGGTCGTTGACAGCAGGTGTTGACCTGTTGTCCATAGGGCCTCTGTGAGTCATGATAGCACTTCAACAGCATTTGTACATCAGGACCTTGTAAGGACTTCCGTGAAGTGTGTTCAGCCTCACAGGTGTGGTATTTCTGAACACCAAGTTGTCTTCTTCTCTGTAGGACTCACCTGGGAGACAGTGACCAGCTGCCTGACGGAGTGGCTTATCTCCTCTCTGAGCCTGTCTCCTTCCCCTCGTACATGTGCACCTACGTGAGGGCAAGGCCTGGTACACCCTGGGTTTAGTTCCTTCATTTATCCACTCACTCATTCATCCCAAAATAGTTACTGAGCCTTCTAGCATCAATCCCATTCTGTTCACTGTGGATGTATTTGGTAAGCAAAACAGCCTCCTTTCCTTATAAAAATACTAGTCCTGGTAGGGAGTACAGATGAACATTGAACACCTAACCAGTAAATGAATAAGCCTAAGTGTATTTCCTGTGATAAATGCGGAGGGCGGGTAGAAGGGGTAAGACACTGAGAAAGAGTAGTAGATGGCCTTTACATTAATATGACCATCAGGAAATGCCTCCAGAGTAGTTTTGTTTAAGCACATAAGTGCCCCTGTACAGCAGGTGCTAAGAAGTGCTAATGTTTTCCTCTGGAATGTTGACCCATCTATCATGGAATGTTGACCCATCTATCAGGTCACATGCTCTAAACTTTCCAACCTCAGAGAATTGCTCTGCTGTGTCTTCCAGTGCAGCCCTTCCCCTCCCCTTGATTCACCACCCACCTTCTTTCTGGGGCACCTTGATCCTAAATAACTCCTGGGAGCTCCTGCTCCATCAGCTCAAGCTGCAATGAAGGGAATCTGTTGACTGACAGTGGGGCTTGCAGAGTCAGGGCAAGGCTTATTCTTATTCTATTTTGAGAACGTTTTCACCTCTTTAGGACACATACCTTGAAGCCTGCAGGTGTCCCTGAATAGCTGTTAAGTTGCAGAATAGATGGTGTTGGAATTTCAGGTGGAGTTTGAATCCCGCCTTGTGACCTTGACCAGACCATGTCAAAGTCTCAATTTCTTCCTCTGGAAAACAAAAGCAAACTGATTTTAAAGTCCCAAGGCTTTCTGGGGATCCCTTGGGTAACAGCAGAGCCCCTCACTGCTGGCTGGAAGTTGGATGGTGTGCGCGTCCCCAGAAGCTCCTCAGGTGACAGGCCTGCAGAGGTACTTGTGAAAAATCACACACAACTGTGGAACCCCTGTGCAGTGGCTCTGTCCTGCACAAGTAGGGGCCCAGTGAGGTGAGCTAGAAACAGCCAAAGACAAATAACAACAGCAATGTAAGGGGCCCAGACACAGAGCCAGCAGTCACTAAACACTTGGTGTACCCTCCTGCCCTCCCTTTCTCCCCAGTTGACTGACCCTCTAAGTCCCACTTTCTATCTAGCTCCCTAATTCTCACCTTTGCCACATAGTGACATGAAGGCCACTGTCCCACCCTCAAAGCCAACCTCTAGAGGTGAAATCAGCCTCAACTGTGTGACCTAACAGGCTACCTGGTACCCACCAGTGGAGAGGATGTAGATACCGAGGGACCAAGCTAGTGTTTAAGTACTACTCTGGAGAAGCAGGAGTGGCATCCACTTCCTAACCAGCACGCCTCTGGAAACTCTTTGAACTTTGATGAATGGCAATGGTTGTGGAAGGGCTTCAGGCTTTTTGTTCATGGGATCGCTATGAGTGGTGCTCAACTCGATGGCAGTCAATAACAACAACAACAGGAGAAGGAGGGACAGTTGCCGCCATGATCACACTGGGGGTCAGCCAAACATTTGGACCAGGAAACCTGGGGACACCTGGCAGGATGGTCATTCAAAACCTGGGAGCAGGAGCCACCAGACAGAAGTGCAAACATGTGGTGGCGCTAACCTAGAAGGACGGAGAAGTGTCTTTTAAGGTCCCTTAGATCTCTAGGGAGGGAGGGAGCTCCAGTGGCCCATCAGTAAGAAGTCATTCTGCAATCCCAAAGGCACACTGTTCAAATCCACCAGCTGCTCTGTGAGAGAAGGATGGGCAATCTCCCATGCGATGAACTGCCTCTGAAAACTCACCAGTGGGTCAGCTATCGATCAGCAGTAACAGGAGGGAGCTGTGGGCATGCGGCCAATAGGATGCTACGCTGCTGATCAAAAGGTTTCCTGTCTCCCAAGGTTCTGATGCACCAATAGCTAATCAAGAAGATGATAGACAATCTCCTCCCATTACAATTTCTAGCCTCCAAAACCCATGGAGGGTCTCTCTGGCTCTGAACCACCTTAACAGCAGCTCATTGGCTGGTCAGAGGCCTCATGGAGAGTTCCCAGGGTGGTCCAAGTGGTTCACACATTGGTGTTTAACTAAAAAGTAGGAGAGTTCAGTCCACCCAAAAGTGCTTGAGAAGAAAACCCAGGCAATCTATTTTTAAAAAATAATAAAATCAGTCATTGAAAATTCTTTGGAGCATAGTTCCGCTCCATTAGGATTGTTATGGGGTATTGTTGAGTCTTTTCCGACAGTTATACAGAATAGAGCTGCCCTTAGGGTTTTGTAGGCTGTGATCTTTGCAGGAAAAGATTGCCAAGTCCTTTTGTCTGTGGATCCACTGGTGAGTTTCAACCAGGGTCCTTTCAATTAACAACTTAGTGTTTAATCATTGTTCCACCAGGGCTCCTTTCATGTGGAAGATCCAGGGTTCGATTTTCAGCATCTCAAGCACAGACCCCACCCACCTATTAGCGGAAGCTCGTGTGTAGCTGCAATGCAGAGCACATTTCAGTGAAGTTCAAGATGAACTTGAAAAAAAGTCCTGGTGATCTATTCTAAAAATCACCAGTGAAAACCTGCAGATTGCAGCTGCTTGGCAGTCAATCATGAGGATGGCTCCGGGCCAGGCATTATTTAATTCAGTTGTTGCAGCTGTCACTCTGACAAGGGCTGACTCAAAGTCACCTATCAAGAAAGATATTTCCAGCAAAGAGTCCATTCTATGTCCCCAGGATGGGGGTGTGAGCAGGGCATGAGGTGTCTGTCTCCAGCCAGCTCTGTAGGGAACTGAGTGAACTGGGAAATGGGACACAGTGGGGTGAAGGAAACTAAGAAGGCAGAGAATGAAGAAAGAGCGGAGGAGAGGAGGACATTTGGTTTATTTGCATGTACTGTATGAAATTGCACGACTGTCTATCTTATTCCTTTCCAGGTAAACACAGACATTTCCAGCTTGAGGAAGGCAGATCCGAAAGGTCGGAGTGCGCTGTTGGCTGATATCCAGCAGGGAACTCGACTGCGCAAAGTCACACAGATCAATGATCGAAGTGCCCCGCAAATCGAGAGTAAGTGAGCAAACTGGACAGGCCACCATGAGCTGAGGAGAGAGGTGGAGGCGGAGGCTGTTATCTGAGGCATATGCCAGCCCACCTCACTTGTCAGTGCACAGAGCACAGGGGTGACAGGAACCCAGCTTCTATGCTGTGCTCCAGGGTTATGCTGTGAGTCAGATTCAGAGGCATTGAGCTCTGCCTGGGTTTGCTGCTTGGGTCAATGACCTACGACTGAGTTCTGATTCTGCCACCAGCAAAATCGGTGAGCCTCTTCGAGGTTCAGTTTGCTCATTTGTAAAATGGAGGGTATAACACTTACTCTGTTTTTTACACCACAGAACTGTTTATAAGTGTAAGATACTGATTTGTTTGAATTTATGTGCTTGATGGTAATTCTCAAAGATAATTTGAGAAATACAATTGTATCTGTATTATTAATTATATGTGTTAATGTGAAAGGATAAACTAATTTTAAAGACATACTTTCAATATTGGTTGCAACAAAAAAATAGTTTCTATTTAGACCCACTGTCTAATTGGTAAGGCCTAATTAGCAGGTAATTCAATCCGAAAACAGTATTTTCCATTCTTTAAGATTAAAAATAATCCAGCCACATTCATCCACCAGGGGGCACTGTCTGCTAATTTCCCTGTGTTACCTTAGCCTCCAATCATAAGCATCTCCCGCTAGGATTCTTGTCCAAGCTAAGTATCATCTCATTGTGGTTGGTAAGGGACAAACCTGGAAGGGCAGGCTAGGTGACACGTGCTGTAGTCTCATTAGCCTTCTCATCTGTGGGAGCCCTCTGCTGCGCAGGGAAGGGCAGGGACTAAGAGAATGAGAGGTGGGGTGGCACAAATAGTCGAAGACCTTCACTTGTATTTGCTATTCTCATAAAGGCTACGTGGACAAGAAGGTAAAATTACACCCTGAATGGAATCTGTGGATCTTATTTATCTAGACTCCTGCAACCAATTTGAAAACAGTGCAAATCTGCATCCACAGTGTTTGCGTTTCCTAATGTAAAAGGTGCTGCTAGTCCCCTCACTGACACTTTCAAAAAGCAGTACAGGTGTATATCACTTAACATCCGTGACCTGTTCTATAAAAAAGATGCTACATAGTTAGGTTACTGTGCACATACTTTATTACATCCAGTTAGTCCCACACAATCTTAGTTAAGTCCCAAAAAGGTGGTTCTATCCAAGCTCTATGTGAGTGCCTTAGACAAGGCCTAAGAGCTGGAACTACTGGATATGGGACGCTGGACTTGCATTGTGCAGCCGCAGCCATGTTGGGACTTTGCCACCATATCCTGATCATGTGCAACTGCTACCACCGTGGACTGGCTCTGGACATCCACAGGAGCCCTGGGTCCTGCTGGGGCCACCAGAGAGCGGCTGCATGGTTACAGGGTAGGTGCATGAGTCCAGGAGGAGAAGGTCGTCTGAGGATTGAGGTACACCCTGGAGCCCCACTGCCCATTGCTGTAGGGGCTTGGAGTCTTTAAAATCATTCAGCTCATTTCTGTCAAGTCACAACCAGCTGACCCTCCTGAGGCTATCTGAGGCTGCAGATTGCATGGGAGGAGATCACCCAATAGAACTGCCTGGCGGAACCTCCACAGAGGTGCAGCCTAAGGGCTAGCAGAGCAGCTCTTTACAGGCTGAGCCTCCAGAGCGCCCATCAGGGGAAAATAATAAACAGAAAGAGAGCAAGGTTCCGCTTGAAGGAGCTCTGGTGGTCTAGTGATAGGGAGTTGTGCTGCCAACCCAAAGGCATACAGTTCAAATCCACCAGCTGCTCCGTGGGAGAAAGATGAGCAGTCTCCTCCCCTGCAATTTATAGCTTCTGAAAACCTGCTGGAGCTTCAGCTATTAATTGATTCTAGTTTGGTGGCACATAACAACAACAATAACATTCCCTTTTTTTAAAAAAAAAAAAGACACCACTCAAATCGATAATATTATGAGACCATGTAGCCAAACATTGCCCAAATAAGCATTAAGCCACAAACACCTATAGTTGTAGGTCCATTTGTTTGGTCACTTTTCAGTGTGGCCAGTCATAGGTGACCAGCTCTTTGGTTTACTAGAGAGCATTACCAGCAGGCCTGAGGCACATGAGATGGCAGAGTGTCAAGGAAGAGGACCCTTGGGGAAGACTCTGGGTGCAAGGGTTGCTTTGGAGGTGTGGGGATGGAAAGGCTGCCAAGGGAGTATCAGACCGCAGCCTCGACTAGGAATTGGCTGTTCTCACATCCTCACCTGTTCATTTCTTGTCTCAGATTCTAAAGGAGGCAGCAAAGAAGGTGGAGGCTCTGCCAACTCCAGAGGTGGGAGCACACCCCCAGCCCTGGGAGATCTGTTTGCTGGGGGCTTCCCTGTGCTACGACCAGCGGGCCAGAGAGATGCAGCAGGTGAGGAAGAGGCCGGGCCTGCCACCTCATGATCTTTAGTCCTTCAAGTCTCAGAAGCAACTAGCCAACTGGACAGTCCTCCCAGGCTGTGATGAGGACCTACTTTCACTGGACTGTCATGCAGTATGATCATGGGTCTGGCAGCCTCACCACTGGGAGTTTCCAGACCACAGAATTGTTCTCAAGGCCACTCTGTTTAAATCATCTCATTGTAATAACTTCACAATGGTTTGCTGTGGTGTATAGTGCCTGACAATGTGATAATAATGGCCAGACTGAGATACAAATATAGACAGATGAGGCAAATCCTAATCAAAAGAGGCCTCAGGGCTCTACTTGGAATTGATGTGCTGGAGGTGAGCAGACCAGGAGACAGAAAGTCCCTTGGAAATGAGCAAAAGTCTTTGGGAAAGGAGGTTTTGAACTTCTGGAACTGGGATGTCAAAGTCTTTTGACCTAGGTCACCAAGTGTCTCCCCCCTGTCCTAGGTTACTGTGTATCTTCAGACACTCTTGACTCCATTACAGGCAAAGTACAGGTGTGGTAACAACTGGGTAGAGAGCTTCTGGTTGATTCGGCTAAGGATCCACACTGGAGCCTGATGGCCAATTGGCCTAGAGGGGAAATGAGGAAGGGCAGGTCAGAGCTGACCTGGAGGCCCCGGGCCAGTGAGGGCACATGGGTGCTGCAAACAGTATACTGTGGTTTGTCCTGGAGAGGGCAGTCCTAGTGGTAGGGCCCTAGGGAACTGCACCCCCAACCCATAGGCCACACCTTTCTGGCAACTCGAAACCACCATGGGAGAAGGATGGGCAGTCTCTTCCTGTACGATTTTACAGCCTCTGCAGACCCTCTGGAGGGGCAGCTGGGAGTCAGCTCCGAGTTGATGACAATGTTGTTGCCTCCTGGAGGTGGTCAGCGCATGAGCACCAGCACTGCCAGGGCCTGGTGTGGACAGCCTGCCTGTGTGACCACCTTCGGCACCTGTGGCCTTCTCTGTGGACGTGTAGGGAGGGATGTGTCCCCCATGCTGCTCACTGACATCGCATTGGGAGAGCCAGGAGTTGCCACCACCACCACCCCACATACCCTTGAGGGTCTCTGTCTTTTACTGCAGGTCTAACTCGGAACTCGTCTTCTTGCAGGTGGCAAGGCTGGGCTGGGCCCTGGCTCCCGAGCCCCTTCCCCCAGGCTGCCTATGAAAAACATTAGTGGTCCGCTGAATCCCCCTGCCTCTCCCCGCCTGGGAAATGCCCCTGAGGCGCATGGCACTGGCCGGACAGCCCCTCCTCGCCCCAATGTGCCTGCACCACCTCCTCCCACCCCACCTCCACCTCCTCCACCTTTACCCCCACCACTACCTCCTTCCTCCCCCACCAAAGCACCACTGGTTTCCCCATCTGGCCCACCTAACAAAGGAAACCCCTTAACCAGTGCACCCCCTCTTCCCACCATGGCACCTCCACCCCCACCCCCTCCCCCCCCCCCACTTCCTCCTACCCCGCCCCCACCACCCCAAACCACAGTTCCCAATGACAAAGCAGCAAAGCCTCAGCTCGCCCCCTTGCACCTCCCACCCATCCCACCTCCTCTCCCTCTCCTACCCCCTTGTGGATATCCTGGGTCCAGTGCAGACACTGCAAGCCCCACCCAGGATGTGCGGGAGTCCCCAGCCCCTCCGGCTCCTCCACCCCCACCTCCTCTGCCGTCCCCTCTGTCCATTTATGCCTCATGCTCCCCTAGGTCTTCTACACCTGCACCCCCTGTGCCAGGGACTAGTAACAGCAGTGAAGTCCCACCCCTTCTACCTCCCAAATCCCCCAGCTTCCAGCCCCAGCCCCCAAAGCCCAGTGTGCAAGGCTTGCCCACACCACCCGCCCCACCAGGACCCCAGTTTCTACAGAAGAAGAGGCATGGCCGAGGCCCAGGTAAGCACCCCTCTCTGGCTGTCGGCCATATTACCAGAGGATCATGTGAGTCACACCAGATAGAATAGCTGTGCTCTTGACTACTCAAGTGTGCAGCCAGAAGTTGGCCTCTGTGAGCCACGTGGAAACCCACGGGGCCAAACCTTGGTGCCCCTCGAGTTCATGAAGACCTGAGGGTGCTGGGACTTCTTGCTCAGAGTTGTTCCTTCTAGAGGCTGGGAGGCTGAGAGAGGCTGAGAGACTCATCTGAGGCCTGGCAGCCCACAAGGGAGGGATGCTGCTCTGTTTTCCCCACCACTTCCCTCCCAGCTGTGTGGCCTGGTTGCTCTCTGAGCCTCTGTGATTCCTTTGCTCCATCTGTAAAATAGGGACGCAGTAACCCTACCTCCTCGGATGACCCTAGGGATTCAGTGGGTTCTCGTGTGTAGCACAGCCTGGCACAGTGAGCTCTTGAGAAAGGTTCTTTACTTCATCTGTCATTCAGACTCCACGTCCACCCAGGTGTGGTCCAGGGGCTGAGGGTACAATCCGTTTCCACAGTGAAGTCTCCTGTCGATACTTTGCCAGAGTTCTTTTAGTCTGACTCCAGAGTTGTCACTGGCGATCACTAGATTGAATTAGCATCCTGCCTTATTTTTGGCAGATTCTCCAGCTGACTCGAGAAAAATGAGGGTCTATGTTTTGAGCCTGGTGTTAAGAATAATTCTTTCATCCATGAAAGAATCCACCTCCCCCACTCCCTGTAGTGATGAAACTTTGTTTACCTTTGATGCTTCACCGTCTACATACACTAACATCCCTAGACACACACAGCCACAAAAGTCACACAAACACCTCTATACACCAAACATACACACAAATATCTACACACTCATATCCACAAACACCTCGTGTACACATATCCACATATACCACAACCACATACATCCACTATTATACCCCACATACACAGACACACTCCATTTACATACACACTGTCACGAACACATCTACAAATACTCAGCCCCTAGTAACAGCAGTGAAGTCCCACCCCTTCTACCTCCCAAATCCCCCAGCTTCCAGCCCCAGCCCCCAAAGCCCAGTGTGCAAGGCTTGCCCACACCACCTGCCCCACCAGGACCCCAGTTTCTACAGAAGAAGACACCCAAAACACACACATATCCTCTACAAACCCCATACCCATACCTCCACAAACACTACACACACACACACACACACACACACACACACACTTACCTAGATCCAAAAACACCCCTCATATATGTGCAGAGATTCTCCCTACACACATATCCACAAACACATCTTACATATCTACACACTACACACATATATACACAAGAACATATAGACAACCTCACACATTCACAAATACCCACACACAAAACCACAGGCCTGTATAACCTTAGACACTCACATTCACACTTAATCCACATACACATACCACACAAACACATCCATACAACACATCCACAGACAAACATTTCCAACTTAAGGCGACTCCATTCACAAATGTTTTTGTCGTGTGCGGTAGGGTAAGAACCAACTCATGGCTGACTCTCCAGAGGGTTTTCAGAGGTAGCTAATTACACAAGAGGAGATTGCCCATCCTTGCCCCATAGAGCAGCTGGTGGCCTCAGACCGCGTACCTTCAGGATTGTAACACAGCTTCTTGCCATTAGGCTGCCCGAGCTTCCTTCCACAATCACATCCATGCACAAATCGATACCAACACACGCATCTACAAACACATTTTCACACATACATTCACAAACATGCCCATGGACAAACCACATAAATAGATCAATATTCACATATCCACAAATATGTCTATGCATCCCAAATACATAAACACATACATACACACACCACACGTCTCCATGCACATTCATCTCCACATCCACACCCACCCACTCACACACCCAAACATACTCATAAATACCTGTGCTCTTGCATATTCTCATGCCACGGTCATTAATACACACACTCAGACATGCTCATCACACATGCGCACACACCCCAAAGCACACCTGCCCTTACACTCATCCATGTGTGCTTATTCTATGGTCCTTCAGAGAATGTTTTGATACAGAAAATTTCTTAAATGTTTTTCTCTAAGTTAAAAATAATGTGTGTTTATTATAGAACAAACAGAAGAAAGAAATTGAAATCACCCATTATAACATTATTTGCAGATGAAAGCTCATATGTGGATATGGTTCCTTTCTGTCTGTCTGAATACATCTACATATTTATGTAGTTAAAACCATTTTATGCATATGCTTCCATATATTTTTAATATTAAAGCAGTTTTCTCAGATCGTGAAAATCTTTAAATATATTAATGTGATAATCAGTATATAACATATCCCTGTCAACTTATTTCATTTCTCATTATGAATATTATTGCCAGAAGTCTATTTTTGTAGTAATTTTAGCCTAGTTTTTTACTCTTGTTTTTAAAAAGTATAAATTCCTAAAGATGAATTCCTAGTTCAAAAGAAAGTAGGATTTTTAAAGTTCTTGATCACAACAGAAATAATTTTGATTATGCAAGTAATATTTATACTGGTGACAGTTACAATTTGTAAATTGCCGTGATGTCATGAACAGAGCAGGGGACCCTTATTTAGGAGGGAGTTGCACTGCTGACTCAAAGGCCATGCCTCTGGTTAGAATCCATCAGCAGCCTTTTGGAAGAAAGGTGGGCAATCTACTCCTGTGCAATTCACAGTCTCTTGGAAACCCACTGGAGGCTCAGCTATGAGTTGGTTCCATCTCAGCAGCAATGAATGAAAAGAATAATGCTTTGTGTTCAAAGGGATCTGCATCCATATCTAAATTCTGTGTAACTTCAAGCTGTTTGGTTTTGTCTTTGACTTTTAACCTTATTTACTTATGGATTGGTTGGTTCTCATTTTATCTTGGTCAAATGGGAAAAATAATAATATACCTTTCTCACAGGATTGTTGTAAAGATTATATAAAACTGTGTGTGAAACGTTTGCATGTAGCTGGGATCAGGCAGCTTTGTTTGAGCTCCCTCGCCATGTGAAGGGCAGCTTTTCACAGAGCAGGCCTTTAACCAAATTACACTACACTACACTACAGTACAGTTCATGCCCAACCCAGGCATGTCAGAGTGGAACTGTGCTTGTGGAGTTTGTAAGTGTGATTGTTCAGATGTAGATCTTCAGACCTTTCTTCTTAATGGACTTGAAACACCAGCTTAGCAGTCTAACTCTTTAGCGTGTGAAGCACCAAATTCCTCCTTTTAGATGCAGGCCCATCCCTTAGAATCTTGCTGTGTAGGAACAGAAGACCAAGTAGGAGAAGGATTGGCTGGGGAGCAGGAAAGGAAGATGGTAGATGCTGAGACGCCCAGAGGGGCTGAGACCCGCCTTCACAGGCTCTTCGGCTCCGGGGTAGTGAACCTGAGGCTCACCTGGCCTCTTTCTTCTTCATGTCGCTGAACACTCAACTTGATTTTCCATGTGTAAAATGAGAGTAATTTCTGCTTCCGCCCGATTAGAGGGATTGTAATTGTGCACATCTTAGCACAGCTAATAGTAGTTTAATTGCCTTCATTGCAAAAAGCCGAGCATGGTTTCCAGTGTCATTAAGAACCGCGCAACAGTGAACGTGAGTGGATGTGCCAGGGCTGTGGGTTATTAATTGCCAAGTGAGATGTACAGAACAGAATTGGCAAAGGAGAGAGGGGCCTGCCATGGGAATGATCAGGGAAGGTTTAGTGAAGGAGGTAGGCTTTGCATTGGGCCTTGATTTAGATTGACTGGAATCTCCCCACAACCTGCTCTGATCATCTACATCTGAGCCCAGGAATTCATTGTCATTCTTGGAACTACAACGGTTCTCCTCCTGAGGGTTATCACTGCCATTAATGACACCACATCACATCAGGTAACACTTATTTGACATTAATTATATAAATGGCGCCCAAGGTACCTAACTTCATTATCTCTGCAGTCTTAGGAGCTAGATGCATGGATTACTACCACTCTCATTTTACAGATGAGGCAATTGAGGTACATAAGAGGTGATGTTATTTACCTCGATGGGAAAACTGGGATCCAGTACCAAGAAGGTGACGTGTAGGTCACCCTTTCACTCATCAGACCATCTAACTCACATGGGTGGAAAGCATGTGTCCATCCTCTTCTTGTATCTGAATGTGTCATCATTTTCTCTGTAAGGTACCGGTGGGGGGAAGTTAAATCCACCCCCAGCTCCCCCTGCAAGATCACCCACCACGGAACTTTCAAGCAGGAGCCAGCAAACGCCAGCCTGGACCCAGAGCCAGCAGCCAGGAGGTCCCCTGAGAAATGGAAGCCTGCCCATCATGGGTGAGTAGGCCCTTCGTTTGCAGGGCTGCACCAGAGAGGTGCTTTTCTTGGCCTCTGGAGAGAGTTTACATTCTTGCTTTTTGGAGAATGGAAAGCCGAGTGCAAAATAAGTCTCAGGTCCTCTGAAAGAGGGTTTCTCTCAGTGTTCTGTGTGGCTCCCATGCCCATTCTCCAGCCTTCTGTTAGACTGCAGAGCTCCACTTACAGCCACAGGACAAGTGAGTGAGAAGGCAAAATCTCTAATTACAAAGGAAGGAAGGCACAAGATGTGAACACTGTGTGTGTATATATGTGTGTATTATAGTCTGTCTGTCTCCAGTGGAGAAACCAATTTACAACTGAAAGGCAAGTGAATTGAATGAAGTAAAAGAATGCATGGAAAGCCCACCAGGCAGGAGACAATTGGAGCCAGAATGTGGAGGTTAGGAGGAAAGCCATTAGTGTCTGAGATGGTCAGCTTAAACCCTTCGGTCCCTTCTGTCTGCTGGACTGCTGTGAGACACAGGATGCAGATCACAAAGTCAAGAAGCCCCTTCCCTCCCACAATCAAGGACTCCGGAGCAGAACCTCTTGACTTTGGGGACCCTATGTCTGAACTGGACAAGGCAGTGTTCTTGCTCAAAGCCAGCATGAGGACTGCTCCTCTGCCCCCTGCCTCCTCCCAGAACCCTGCCTGGAGATTAAGGGGTGCTCCATGCCATGGAAGGAGCTCTGGTCTGTGGTTGCTAACTAAAAGACCAAGTGTTGCTGGCATTTCGAATCCACCAGTGACTCCAGAGAAGAAAGGGCAGTCTCTTTCTTTTCATTAAGATTTATTTACAGCCTCAGAAACCCAATGGAGGGTCAGTTATGGGTCGGAATTGACTCGATGACCAGGAGTCTGAGTTTTCGTGCTGCCAGGCTCCACTAGTTGACATAAATTGCCCACCTTGAGGTCTGGGTTCTGCAGAGCCCCTAATACCCAAGTTAGACAGCTTCCCAAGCCAGACCATTCCACTTTCCCTGCCTCCCCTTGTCCTGGCTGATCAGAGGAAATTGAGGTAGGTGGATGTCAGAGAGTGAACAGCCCACCATTAAAACCCTCAAAGAGGACAGCAAACAGAAGAGCAGTGTGTTTGGCCAGGGTGGCCTGGGCACTCCTGACGTTACCAAAACCTGAGTCGTCACAGTAACAGGAATAAACTTTACCATTTCCCATGTCTGCAGATGACTTTGAGTCTAAATTCACGTTCCATTCTGAGGAAGACTTTCCTCCTCCGGATGAATATAAACCATGCCAGAAGATTTACCCCAGCAAGATCCCCAGAAGTAAGTACCCCCTTAATAAGACCCCAAGTTGTTCCTGCCCCTCCAAAAGTAGACACTCTGTGTGCATTGATCAGCCACAGACTGTATAAAAGATGGGAGCTTTGGTGGCGGACTAACCCACAGGCAGTGCCTACAGCAGTTCAAATCCACCATCCTCCCCATGGTAGAAATGTATGCATTCTCCTCTCGCGTGATTTACTGTCTCCAAAAACCCGCTGGAGGGTCAGCTATGAGCCGGTTCCAACTCAACAGCAGGAGTGAGTTTTGAGTTATGTAAAGGATAGGAATGCTCTGGTAGCATTATCTGTAGTGAAATGCTCTGTTAACTAAAAGACTACGTGTCTTCAGTGGTTCAAATCCACCTACAGGTCCAAGGGAAAAAGTTAGACAGTCTCCTCACATTAAGATTTATAGCCACAGAAACAGGATGGAGGGTCACAGGGAGTCAGAGCCAACTCAGTGGCAAGTGAGTGATGCAGAGGATGGCTTGGCAATTGCATTGCACCCCTGTGAGGATAACGAACCCCCTTGGTGTATTGAGTAACATAGCAAGCTGTTAACTGAAAAGTTAGCAATGGCCTAGTGCTAAGAAGCTGTGCTGTACTCTCAAAGCCGCACAGTTCAAATCCACCAACTGCCCCACGGGAGAAGGATGGGCACTCTCTTTCCATGTGATTTACTGCCTCTGAAAACCCGCTGGAGGGTCAGTTCTGACTCGACAGTACACAATAACAATAACAAACGGCTCCTTGAGACAAAGATGGGGAAGTCTCCTCACTTGAAGATTTGTGGCCTTTTAGAAAGCTGATGGCAGCTAGCTGTGAGTTGGAATCAATTTGACAGTAGTGGATGGAGGTGATAACAGGTGAGGTTAAGGGCTATGCTTCTGGTAGAAAGGTTAGTGGTTTGAAACTACTCTGCAGCTCTGCCAGAGAAAGGCCTCAAGATCTATTTCTATAGAGACTACAGCCAAGAACCCTCTGAGGGACAACTCTATGTAGCCACATGGGTCATAGCAGTGAATTAGCATGGACTCTCCAGCACCCCACAGCAACTCTGAGGGGTCATTCTGGTTTGACCTTCTGCTGAGAATTTTATTTCCAACCCAGACACACTGAATCCTAATCTACTTCTTAAAAGATGGTGTTTAAGAATCCCCGCGTGGTAGATTTGTTCCAAGGCCTGCATTGGGCCCAGGAGCGTAGAAAGAGCTCAGGCTCCTAGAAGTCTCAGAACACTTACTTGCTCTGATTGCCAAGGCTCATGACAAGGCTTTTGCAGAAGAGCAGAGCTAACAGTTCCGGGTGGAATCCAGGTGCTGAGTTTGCCACACTTTCCTGCACACCCTGGTGATAACTTTCCAAGACCTAGTCAGAGATCACAAACAATAGCAAGAGTTTTGCATCAATAGCTGGGGAAAAACCTTGAAAGTCCCCATTTCAGAACTCTGGTTGGACAATGCAGTTAATTAGATCAACCAGAGGGCCTTTACAGACTCTGAAGGCCAGGCTGCAGCTCGATGCCTCTCTCCTGGTGTAGACTGCAGTGAGATGCATAGACAGGACTTAACCTGCCTGAGCTGCTCAGCCCCTGGTGGTGCAGTGTGCAGCATGTGGCATTACTAACCAGAAGAGCAGTGGTTGGCATCCCCTAAATGCTTCACGGAACAAAGATGGTCGGTCTCCTCCCGTTAAGATTTACAGCCTCGGAAACCCAGTGGACAGCAACGAGGTTTTCGTTCAGCCTTAAACAGAAGAGGAAGAGCGTGACCTGCCCCTTAAAGTTAACAAGGCAGGAAGGCAATTGTTTTCGGCCATGAACACAGAAGGTGAAGCCAAGTAGGGTGAGTTCTTGGCTCTTAGCCCCTCAGAGGAGCCACCTGTTAGCATGAACCAATTCTCACCCTCGAGGGGCTAGTCAGGCGCCTTGTCCAGAGGAGAGGGCCTTAGAAGGGAGCAGAGTCAGCAGGAGGTGAGGACTGGTATTCTCCGCTCTGTGACTTGAGTAAACACCTAGACCACATGTGAGTGTGACCTGTCTGCCTCTGGATTATTTTTTTTTTAACTTAGGGTAGCATTGAGAACTATACCCTAAACTGGAAGAGACCTGATGGTATAATAGTTGAGTACTGGACTTCTAATGAAAGGTTAGCCATTTGAACCCACCCAGAAGCTCAGTGGGAAAGACCTGGGGTTCTGCTGTGGAAATGATTACAGCCCAGAAAACCTTGTGGGGCATCTCTACACGGTCACACAGGGTCACCCTGAGTTGAAAATGGACTCAGTGCCATCTAGTAATAACTTTAAAGGCCTTTTCTCCTGTAAAGGACCAGAGAGTAAATATTTTAAGCATTACAAGCCATGTAGTCTCTGTTGGAACTACTCAGTTTTGCTGTTATAATATAAAAACTTATAAATAGGGAGCTCTGGTGGCCTAGTGGTAAGAAGCTTCACTGCAATCGGGATTTGAATATACCAGCTGCTCCATGGGAGGAGGATGGACAGTCTCCTCCCAGGCGATTTACTGCCTCTGAAAACCCCTGGAGGGTCAGCTGTGGGATGGATCTGATTCAGAAGTACACAACAACAACAATATAAAAGTAGCTATAGATAATAAATAAATTATAGAGCATAATTCTGTTCCAATAAAACTTTATTTACAGAAGAAAAAAAAATTGGGCTTCAAGTTATTGTGGGCTGAGTTTGTGATTCTGATGAGGAAGAAGTGGGCCCAGGGGAGGAAGCACACTCTTGAAGTTTAAGTCAGAGTCAAGCTCTGCGGTCCTCTTGTAAAGTGCTATTTTCCTTTCTGGCTTTTGCACTGTGTGTTTTCCCCAGTGGTCAGCAACAGAGGGTAGGAGTGATAAGTGGCAGCCTGAGGACCTGACTACTGAGGGTACCTAGGGAGTGGGGGCGGGGGGAAGGAAGCATGCTGAGTTTTCTATGTTGTCCATACATTGCTGATCCCTGCCCTAAACTATCCCCCAAAAAGCAAATTCTTAGAAATCTGTTACCCAGCCTTGCTCAGTACAGTTCAGACTGTCCTTGAGAGTCATCTTATATATTACATTGTAGGATGGAGTTAGCCGCATTCATAACTCATGGTGCCTGAGGATGAGAGAGAAGCTGTGGTCCTTCATTTCATACAGAACTCTAGGCTGCACCATGTTTCTCCCTATCTCAGAAAAAGGGTCAGATTGGTGCCCATGCCAAAAATCTGGCATTCAGAAAGGAGCCCTCTTTAAAAAGCCGATTAAGTGAGTGGATGTGCTTCAGACTATAAACACATCAGACTGTATATAAAAAATAAGATACTGTTCTAAGTCATGGTATGGGTGGACATGAAATGCTTTAATCTCCTAGAAAAGCTCAATTCACTTGTCCCTGTCATCTGGTGAGTTGTAGTGTTGGACCTCGCTAATGACAACAACGTGAGTGTGTCTGATGTGGATTGTGCTGTCTGATTACATTTCTCCTCGTTTCCTTCTACTTCCTGTTGACCCAACTCCCCAAGATTACAGATCTTCCTGTTCTTCCTCTGCCTTTGTCATTTGCTTGTTCTCTTTCTGCTTCCATCCAAACACACACACCCCGAGAGAGAAAAAGAGAGAGAGAAAGGTGTGATCCTCATACTTAGCTCTTCCAGAGGCCCAGTTCACTGTCTCCACTTGGCAATAACTGTTAGTTATTGTCACTCTTCAATCAGATGATGAACTTAATTTTTTAAAATTTTTTTAATGGCACAGTATTTATTAAGATGATGGCAGGAAAAGGAAGTCATTATTGTTGTTACTGATATCCTCACCATCATCATCATGATCCTGTCAACGGATATTCATTGAAGCCCTGGGCACCGGGGAGATTTACATAAGTAGGTTTCCTCACCTTCAAGAAAAAGGAGAGGGGGAGAGAGACAGACACACAAACACGTTCTTTTAGTCTGGGTGTTCCCAGCAAAATCACCTTAAATCGCAGTCAGTTTAATGAAAAAGTGACAAATTTGAAACTCTACTGTCTTCATTTCCTAGCTCTTTTTTATTTTTTTAAATGTTATTATTTTTTGTATGTATACTGTCAAATTGGATCTGACTGGTACAGGAGGAGATTGCCCCTCCTTCTCCAGCACAGCGTCTGGTGGATTCAAAACGAATACCTCTGGGATTGCCATGCAGCTTCTTGCCACTAGGCCACCAGAGCTCCCTTCCTAGCTCTTTTTTAAAAACAAAGGTACTTGATGTTTTTGTATAAAACTACCATTGTTGTTATATATTATTGAGTTGATTCTAACTCAGCAGCTGTACAGGACAGTGTAAAAGGGCTCTAGGGTTTACGAGGCTGTATTTATGAGAATGGATTGCCAGCTCTTTTTCTCCCACAGAGCAGTTGGTGAGTTCAAACTCCTGATCTTTTGGTTAGCAGCCAAGCACTTAACTTCTATGAGCCTCACCACCATTGTTTTCGTTAAGGAGACTTCATCAGTTTCTGCCTTGCGCCACCCTCAACACCGTTGTTTTTACGAACGGAACTTCTCCAACTTGTACTTCAACAGTCCAAATAGCTCATGTCATGAACATGGATGAATCAGCCTTGCAAGGACTGAGAGAATCAGCCAATGTGGCGTTCTGCTGGTGGGAGGGGTTTTCATTCAGCCTGTGGGTGCAGCTGAGCACCCAGAACCTCTGCCCCGGGAATGTACCTCCAAGGCTCATCATTCCCTTTGATCACACTGTTTCCAAAAGCTCAGTCATCCAGCATCTTTCATTCATTGCTGTTCCTCTCTTAAAGTAACATGTCAAAAATTGCCACTGGATTGGCTACCAACGGTGATGGCTCTATGTGTAAGACAAGCAGTTTGCCCTTCATTCATTTGTTAATTGGAAGGTTGGCTGTTTGAACCCACCAGTGGGCAGATAGGCCTGACAATCGATTTCTATGAAAATGAGAGGCAGGAAAACACGATAGAGTACAACTGTACTCTGTCACACATTGGGTCTGCATGAGCCTGGCTTCACAGCTTGCTCCTTTCTCCTCTGCACCACACTGATGCTATTCTGCCACAGACCTCTCCCTTGATCCCACCCGCTCCCAGAGCCGTGTCTCTACACCTCTTAAGAGTAAACACTGTCTACTTCATTTCCTCCGGATCCTTTCCGGTGTCGGGCTCTCTTCTCTCTACTCCATGGCCAGAGCATCTGTCAAGCCACCTTGGCCCGTCATGTGTCCGGGTCCAGTTGATCACACTCTCCTATTGAAGCACTTTGCTCAGAAGTCTGGGCACAGTTGACCACACCGTCCTGCTGAAGAGCTTCTTTCCCAGAAGTGGCAGGCACAGTTGATCACACCCTCTTCCTATAAAACTTCTTTGCTGGACTTTCTGGAAAGCCTTCTCTCCTTTCTCTTCCACCCTCACTGACTGCTCCTCTACTTTTCCAAGAAAATAAAGCCTTTGGAGTCTTCTTTGCCTTCTTACTCTCTGCTATTTGCTCATCTGGCCTACCAGAAAATGCCTTTCTAACACGTTTTCCTGTTTTACTCCATAGCCTAGAGTGATTCATCCAAACCAAAATCCAGTAAAACCACCCTCTGCTCAGAACCTTCGGTGACTTCCCATCTCTCTCCAAGTCATTTGGGCTCAGAAGTTCTGCATGAGTCAATCCCCCTTCTCTCACCTTCTGCCGTTTTCCCTACCTCAGTTTACAACATTGTTGTTAGCTGTCATTGAATTGACTGTAACTCACAGCAGCCCGATGGACAGTAGACTTCAACCTTACCTATCCTGCACCTTCCTCACCACCTTTGATATGCTTGACCCCATGGCTACGATCACTGTGTCGATCCATCTTGTTGAGAGCCTTCCTTTCTCTGACCCTCCACCTTTTCCCAGCACTATGTCTTTTTCCAGGGACTAGCCCTCCTTACAACATGCCCAAAGTACATGAGATGGAGTTTCACCTTCCTTGCCTCGAAGGAGCCCTCTGGTTGCACTTGCAACGCTAGCTTCCTAATCTTCTTGGAACATTTGAAGCACACATATATCTCGGGCTCTTTGTACTTGCAGTTCCTTCTACCCATTGCTCATGGCTCATTCCCTACTTCCTTTGGGCCTTGAGCAAGTGTTATTTTGTGAGAGACCCTCCATAACCACCCTAGATGAAATAGCAGCCCTTTCTATCTACCACTTTGTTACAATACTATATCGTTTTCATTAAAGCATCTATCACCTCCTGACATACTGCATATTTACCTGTCTCTTTTCAGTCTCTGTAACATAAGCCTTAAGTATAGTATAATAAAGTGCAAGTCCCTGGAGGACAAGGGACTTGGCATCAACTCTTATTCACTGGTCTACCTTTAGCTCCTGGAATGGGACAAAGCTCAGAGATGTTCACTGAATGGTTGTTAATAAGTACAAAGATTACAAAGGCCTACACTGCTGAGACATTTCTAGACTAAGAGACTTGGAAATAACACATATCTTTGACACTGGAATTAAATAAATTCAGGCAAAACCACATGATAAAATGATAAAGTTTATTAACTAGAACCTAAATTTTGTAAAATTAAATGCTTGTGTATGTATATGTATACATGGAGAGATGAACAGTTAGTTGACTAAATAAAGAGAAGTGGAAATGCTAGAAATATATACATCAAAAGATTAAAAGTAGCTATCACTCGATGGTGTCATGCTGATGGCTTTTCTATTTTCTACCTCCGACAAGCTAGATTGGATTGACGCAGTGACCGGCGGGGGGGGGAATGTCAAGTGTGTTGGAGATAGTGAGGTTGGCTCAGGATAGGGCAAAGTTCAGAGCCGCCGTTCATAGGGTCACTGGGAATCGTAGCTCACTTGACAGCACCTAACAACAATCCTATTTTGCAAAAATCTTTATTTTATGCACACATGAACGTGGGGTTTTAGGGTTGAAAGCGCAGCTCCTTACCACTGGGTCACCAAAGCTCCATAGCTACATGGTGTTTTTAACAATAATTAAAACTAATTTTAAAATCCCAAATTTGGGGAAGGGCGATGATGATTAGCTGCCCCGGGTCCCAGCACTGGCAGTGAGGGAAGTGTGGTCACGAGACAGGCAAGTGAGGTGACTTCTCACAGAGTTTCAGTCGGCTGTGTTCTCTACAGAGAGCATCTGGTTGAGAGTGGAATGGTATATATAATGCCACCGGAGCTGAGTCGGTGACAGGAGGGAAAAGATAAAAGGCCGAATTCATCACTTCTATTTTTTTTTTCTTCTTTTTTTTTTATTTTCTTCTTCGAATTCATCACTTCTAACGATAAAAACTCATAGATGTTAGAACTGGCATTTCTTATTAAATCCGTCAGTTCCCTTATTGGAAACTGTAAATTTCCAGTGTTAGAACAAGAAAGGCCATTTGACATCTTCTGGTGCAACTCTTTCATGGACAGCTAAAGAAATTAAGGCCAGAAGTAAAGTAATCTACTCTTGGTCACAGCTGGTGGTGAAACTGGGGTGTATCAGTGTCCAGGAACAAAGTTTCACAGACTGGATGACCCACTGCCTTCCAGTCACTTCCAGCTCATAGTGACCATATAGGACAGCGTGGCGTTTCTGTCCTGCATGGTTTCCGAGGCATGTACATCCTCATAGAAGCAAACTACCACATTTTTCTCCCACCGGGTAGCTAGGTGATTTGAATCACTGACCTTCCAGGTACTGAGGAATTAGTCACTGTGCCTTTCACTACAGGGTTCCTTTCGGTGACTTAAACAACTTAAGTTTATTTCTTCACAACTAGAATGGGATTGCAGCAGGGCCAGGCTTTTTCTTGGGGCTCTAGGGAAGACATTTCCGGATCTGAACTAGGTTTTAGTGGCTCCAAGAGTTCCCTGGTTTGTGGTAGCTTTACCCCAGTCTCTGCCTCTGTCTTCACATGGCCACCTTGCCTCTGTGTCTCTGTCCTTGTGTCATTGGATTTAGGGCACACCATAATCCAGCAAGACCCCCATCTTGACCCTTAACTAAGTACACCAGTAAGGAATTGTTTCCACACAAGGTCATGATCATAGGTACTAAGGATTAAGACTTCCGCATGTATCTGTCTTTTGAGAGGCGTTGTTCTTCAATCCATCAATGTCAGACTAAACTCCAGGTTCTCTGTTTCATGTTCTGTGTTCTTCGCACCACACCTTGCGCCTCTTCACTATTCATTATAATAGACTGCAGCTTGGAGAGACTGTGTTGGCCTGGAGCTGACCGTCACCTCTGCTTCTCACAGAATCCACCTTCCTCCTGACCCACTTCCCAGTCCCAACAATGGCCGTTGGAAACCAGAAGGGACTCTGAAGAGGTTCTCAAGGACCCCCAGCTTAAATGACAAGCTGTGATTGTAAAATCTTTTCAGGGCATTCTTCAAGTCCTACAGCATGCATTTTGCTGTTGGTTGGCCATGAAATGGGTATCTCTGTGCTGGGGAAAATGACAAGGCTGATGTTTCTTTCAGTTTGTGTTCTATTTAACTGTACTTCTTAGAGAATGAGTCACGGCCCTCATGGAAGGAAAGCAGATTTCTGCCAGTTGATCCTTTTATTCATCTTCTAAGCATTCTAAGATGCTTAGCACACTGGGAGGACGGGCAGGTGAGCACGGCAGGAGATGCTGGTGAATTTTTCATGAGGGAGCACTGTGTGATGGCTCGTTAGTGTATGACACAGTGATGGCAACAGTGGCCTTGAGCAAGGTGGGGATTGTGTGGCTGGCACCGGATAGGGCACCGTTCACATCTGTTGTCTATATAATCACTGTGAGTCACGCTTGACTCAGTGGCACCTAACAACAGCAGTAATAACAACATGTGTTTGGGGCCCGGTGGGGAAGAGCTTAGCTACTTTCCCAGAGGTTCCTGATCTGAACCCATCAGCCACTCCACAGGAGAACAATGTGGCAGGGGCTTCTGGAAAGAATATAGCCTTGGAAACCAGTTCTGTTTTGTCCCATACAGTTGCTATGAGCCAGAACCGACTGGAGGCAGTGGGTCATCATTTGGCTTGCTGCTTTAAAAAAAAAAGGTATTTTTAGGGATCTCTGGTAGCCTAGTGGTAAGGAGCTATGCCGCAGCCCCAAAGGCACATGGTTCAAATCCGCCAGCTGCTCCATGGGAGAAGGATGGACAGCTCCTCCCTTGTGATTTACCGTCTTTGAAAACCCACTGAGGGTCAGCTGTGGGTCAGTTCTGACTCGCCAGTACACAACAACAACAGTACGCATTTCTAGGAAGAAGAACTGATCTTCATTATTTCTGACTCATGATAACCTCATGTGTGTCAGAGCGGAACTGTGCTACACAGGGTTTTCAGTGGCTAATTTTTCAGAAGGAGATCACCAGGCCTTTCTTCCGAGACATTGGGTGGATACACAGCTCCAGATGTTAGAGCAGCATGTTAACCATTTGTACTAACCAAGGACTCCAATTACATGTTGTCATCATTGTTTGGTGCTTTCAAGGCAGTTCTAATTCGTAGCCACCCTGTGCACAACAGAATGAAGCAGTGCCCCATCCTGCACCATCCTCATTTAGATAAATGTCCCTAATAATGATTTTTTGTGCCCAGCGTATTGGGCAGGCGGCCTCTGTATCCACAGTCTGTGACACAGAAGTCAGCAGTTGGAAGCACATACTCAAGGCAGGATGCCTGCGGGCTTCGGGTCCAGGAACTCCTGTTACCTCAGGCTCCTTGCTATTGGTCTGACTGCTGACTTAGCTAACATTCCCTGCAAAGGCATACCCTAGGCCCTGAGCCAACAGATGATGAAATTGTTCCTCTTTCTTCCAGGCCGTACACCTGGTCCCTGGCTCCAGGCCGAGGCAGTTGGGCAGAGCTCCGATGACATCAAAGGCAGAAATTCTCAGGTAACATGTCTTTCCATCTCTGAATGTGAGACCAGGAATTCTCCTTAGGGAGCATAGAAGCATTCAAAGTGTGCTTTCTCCTCAGCAACTTAACCTCTCCCCTCAAACTCTTTTTCCTCAAGAAAAGCCAGTTAGGGTACCTCTATTTCAAGCTGAAATGAAACACTCTCAGTTTTTAAGTTTGAGAGAGGGAGAACTACCCTTTAATCCCTACCACACACAGAACGCAAGTTTGGCCCCCAGAATTCCTGTAGAATCATTCAACCAAAATAAACCCACTCACTCCGCATTTCCTCACTGGTTATGATAGTTCAGGGGGCCTAAGAGAAGACCTTCTAACTTTCACAAAACATGGTGTCATGTTCCCTCTCATCTGTAGAATAATTTCCTGCATTGATCATGGTCTTTTATTCTGTCTCGTTTTATTTTCATAAAATATATATAACAAATCATTTGCCATTTTAGCCATTTTTAAGTGTACAGTTTAGTGATGTTAATTGCATTCACCATATTGTGTTAACTATCATTATGTGTTTTCATAAGTTTTACATCATATAAAACAAAAACTCGGTATCCCTCCACGTAGGCCCCTCCTCCATCAGCCCAAGTAATCCCTAAAGTAGTCTTTATACACTTTCCAGTTCTAGATATTTTATTTAATTGGGATCATATAATATTTGTCATTTTATGCCCTAGTTTGACTTAGCATAATATTCTCAAGAGTCATCTATATTATAGCATGTTGTTGTTATGTGCCGTCGGGTCACTTGCGACTCATAGCGACCCTATGTACAACAGCCCTAAACCCTACTCTATCTTGTGTCAGTCGCACTGCCTCCAACATACCCATCCCGATTACCCCAGTCACTGAATCAATCCACCTCATAGAGGGCCTTCCCCTCCTGCGCCATCTCTCCACCCTCCCAAGAATGATGTCCCTCTCCAAGGACCAGTCCCACCTTACAACATGTCCAAAGTATGTCAGATGAAGCCTCAGAATCCTTGCCTCCAAGGAGCAGCCCCTTTTAACCCTCTGCAGGATGAATCTGTTTGTTTTCTTAGCAGTCCAATACTCTTCTCCAGCACCACAGCTCAAAGGCATCAATTCTCCTTCTGTCCTTCCTAGTCATTGTCCAACTCTCTGATCCATAACAAGTGATTGCAAAGACCATGAACTGTATCAGATACACCTTAGTCTCCAGAGACACACCGTTGCTCTTGAATACTTTAGAGAGGCCCCTAACAGCAGACTTTCCCATCACAATACGCCTTTTAATATCCTGGCTGCTGGTGCCAAGAGTGTTGACTGTGGAGCCAAGCAAACTAAAGCTGTGAACAATCTCAATCTCTTCACCATCCATCCTGATGCTGCCAGTTGGTCCAGTGGTGAGAATCTCTGTATGTTAGAATTTTATTTCTCCTTCTGGCTTAAAAATATTCCACTGTATATGTATAAGATACTTTATCTGTTTATCCCATTAGGAGCTCTGGTGATGTCTGTTCAACTCAACTCATTGCTGTTGATTTGAAACTGACTCACGGCAGAACCTCTGCTGGATTTTCGGAGGCTGTAAATTATGCAGGAGGAGACTGCCCATCTTTCTCCTGCAGAGCAGCTGGTGGATTTGAACCACCTGGCTTTGGGCTGGCAGTGAAACTCCTTACCCACTAGGTCACCAGAATTCCTGGTGGTGTAGTGCGTAACACTGAGCAGCTAACCAAGCAGGTGGCAGTTCAAACCTACCAGTTTGTTCTACAGGAAAAAGACAGAAAGTCTCCTCTTGGACAGATTTACATCTTCAGAGAACCCAGTCATGATAAGTCAGAATCAGCTGGGGAGCAATAATTTATTCCTCTACTGGGATGTCTCCACCTTTTGGCTGTTATGAATATTACTGCTGTAAACATTGGTGTACAGGTGTCTTTTTTAATCCTTGACTTTAATGCTTTGAGCTATGTACCAATAGGGCTTTCTGGGGTATACAGTAACTCTGTGTTCAATTTTTTAGGAACTTTCAAATTGTTTTTCACAGCAACTGTGAATCATAGAACACTTAATTGTGCTCATGTATAACCTCTACCTGGATCCAGAGGCTGTTGTGATAACAGAGCAGGGGAACACTGCATGGTTTAAAATTGAGAAGGGAGTGGGTCAGAGTTGTATTCTTTCTCCATACCTATTCAATCTGTATGCTGAGCAAATTATCTGAGAAGATGGACTCTATAAAGAGGAGTGTGGCATCAGGATTGGAGGGAGACTCATCAGTAACCTGCATTATTCAGATGACACAACCTTGCTTGCTGAAAGTGAGGAAGACTTGAAGCAAGAAATGCAGCCTTCAGTATGGATTGTATCTCAATATCCAAAAAAGATTCTTACCACTGGACCAATAGGCAGTGTCATGATGGGTGGTGAGGAGACTGCAACTGTCAACAGCTTCATCTTGCTTGGATCCACAATTAATACCGTTGGTACAAGCAGTGAGGAAATAAGGAGACTCATTGCACTGGGAATATCTGCAGTTAGGGACATCTCCAAATTATTGAGGAGTAATGATGTCAAGTTTCTGGACTAAGGTGTATCTGATTCAGGCTATGGTCTTCCCGATTACTAGCTATACATCTGAGAGCTGGACAATGAATAAGGATGACAGAAAGAAAAAGGATCGATGCCTTTAGCTGTAGTGTTGGAGAAAAGCACTGAACATCCCATAGACGGCCAGGAGAATGAATAGATACGTCTTGGAGAGGGTGCAGCTGGAGTGCTCTCTGGAGGCAGGAATGATGAGGTTTCACCTTATATACTTTGGGTGTTGCTAGGAGGGGATATTCCTTGGAGAGGGAGATGATACTGGGAATGGTGCAGGGTCGGCAAAGGAGAGGAAGACCCTCAACCAGATGGACTGATATGGTGACTGACTGCCACAATGGGCTCTTATGTGTCAGGAAGTGTGAGGATGGCACAGGATAGAACAGGGTTCAGATCTTTTGTTCATAGGGTCGCTGTGAGTCCTACTCGACTCCGTGGCACCTAACAACAACATACCATCTTTCATTCCCTTTGGATTTTTATCTCCATCAGTATTTACTTTTCATTTATTTTGGCCAAATTTACTCAATCTTCTTCAAGTCCTGGTGCCTAGAGAAGAGTGACAAAGGTAGAAGGGAAGCCATTAGGGCTTGTGTGGTAAGATGGCCTTTGAAGAAATGCCATCGCGTCCCCCACAGCCATGTGGTGTGGGCTAACCCATGCAGGGACAGAGCCTGTCACGGTAGGTGACGGGGACTCATCCTTAAAAGGCCTTTGTTTTTCTGAAAAGAAGCACCCAGTGTGATCTTGGTCACCTCCTACTTTCTAGTTGTGATAGACTGAGGGTTAGGCTGTTACATCAAACTGGAAGAAAGTGGGGACTGAGGCTCCAGAAGGCAGGCAGGGTTCCTTGGAGGAAAAAGCTGCACTTCCTGTGGCTTACATGTCCCGCTTTATCCTCAGTGCTAATGCAGGAATTACGGTAATCATTTGCAGAGGATCATAGGTTCAGAATTGTATACTTATGGAATAGGTTTAATAGGCAAAGGAAAGAAGAGGACCAGAAGGATACAAACCTGATTACAGGTGTATATTCTGGAAGAGGACGGCTCTTCATTTTCACATGTTCTGCGTTACTCCAGTGTTCTGAGACTTTAGTTGTATTTGTAGTCATCATCCTCTCCTTTAGATAACTCGACATTTTTCATGTCACTTGAGTATGTTCTCTCAGTTGATCCTTTTAATTGTCCTTGCTAAAAGCTGAAAAGCTAGCTTGGATGCCATTTTAGAGGGGAGAAAACTGAGCTTCCAGGGGTGAGGACAACACCTGTGGTCAGGCACAGGCCCCCCTGATGAATTGCAGGGCTGCTTTCCTTCGTCCCACTGCTCTTTGTGCCATGTCACAGTCACCAAAGACAAGAGTCCTCCTCACCATCAAGCGTGACAAGCCTGCCTGGGTCATTTCTCAGGATTTGGTCACTGGCATAATGGCAGGCACGTACCTAAATCAATAGAGACTGAAGGAATTTATTCTTGTCCATAAGAGCCTTACAAGTCAAGGATGAATTGTAAAGTATCCTTTGGGAATTCTGCCACCAAAAACTATTTTTATTATGTCTAGCTGGGTACCGGTCATTACAAAGACAGAAGAGGAAGAAAAGACCAAAATGGATGTCAGAAGATACTCTGAAAATTGCACTGGAGCGTAGAGAAGCCAAAGCACAGGGAAGAATTCAAGATACTAAAGAGTTGAACAGAATATT